TTCGTTCATAATTTTGTTGAAACCATTTTAGGTGGTGGGAAGTGATGGAAGGGAACGTTGAAGATATCACATGGCTTACTCTAGCAAAAAAAGGGGATGCACGCCTTCAAAATCAATAAAGCAAGAGTAGCTCAATCAGGTCTCCTCATCCAATGACCAATCTCTTTTTCTCCACGCTGTCCTTCGTCTGATGACAATTAGTTTTTGGAGTTATGAGAGACAGAAAACATGAAAAACTGAATGCTGACTGAATTCTGCGCTAGAAGTAGATTCCCTCACTTTAGTTTCTAAGCTTTTGGGCATTCTTCAGCTATTTTCCGAGCTACATACATAACGTACTGTACATTTTCGATACCGCTTATCCCAACTTAATGGGGTCGCGGTACGAGCATCCCTTGGAGCGTCCTGCAATGATCTCGATCCTAGCCAACGGATTCGTGCTCAGCTGGTGGAATGCCGAGCCTCTCGCGACAAAGCCGAGCGATGTAATCGCTCCATCTCCACCGGAAGCCACCCCCGCGCCTTCCCTTTCCCCCCCCCCCCCAAAAAAAAAAAAAAACAAACAAAAACGTTTCCAACCACCGGAAGCCCCCCCCGCGCCTTCCCTTTCCCCCCCCCCCCCCAAAAAAAAAAAAAAACAAACAAAAACGTTTCCATTCTATTACCATCACAAGTGAAAATACGAGCAGCCTGGCCTTTCGAACAAATGCCAAGAATGGGTTTCCCCTTGGTGAACCAGTCATGGATGTTACACGTTCTTTACCTGTTCATTGAACCTCTCCAATAGACCTTGTAATTGATGGCCATCGATGCAAAATTATTCTAATTTTGAAAAATGAATCTTAGGAAGCGAAAATGTCATGAGTTTGAATATTCACTTCTCCTCAGCATCAACTCTGCATCGAAATATGAGCAAACCCGATGAGTCGATGTATCCACCAAATATCGACGTTTACTCAACATTCCTGTGCAGATTGGGTTCGCTATATTTATTCGTGAAAGACGTCAATGAAGGAACTCTCTCTTGGGTTCTTGGATACTGTCTCTACTACTGGGGAACAGCTGCATCTTGGAGCTGAAGACCTTCTTGCAAGATCTTGAAATTCCAATTGAGCGATTGCGCAATTGAAGGAACTTGGATTCTCTGTGAAAGAGCCGAATTTGGAGAGTCATCGTAAAATTCCAGAGCGTCTAGATGAGGGAAAGGTGACGGGCACCAATTCTCTTCCATTGAGGAAGAGTATCGCGTCTGTTTACTATCTAGCCATAGATATCATCGCTGCAAAGCTGGAGCAGCGTTTTCGGAAAATGATTATTCGAAAGTTCAAGCTACTTTGCTGAAAGACTTAAAAGTCCTCTAAATCTGAAGTTGCTCCATGATGTTTGCCAGTTTTACCCTTACTATGTAATCACAATTGGACAATTACAGATCGTACATGTCGACACACCACAAATCGTCTGATTCCTCTGTGGCCAACTTAGCATACTTGTTTTGAAAGGCTTCCTTGCAAGATATGCTTCCAGAATGCTGGGAACTGTTTCAGATATTGCTCGCTTGCCCCGTCTCAACAGTCACTGCCGAGCCATCGTTTTCAATGCTCTAGCTGTTGAAAACCTACCTTAGGAGCACTATGACCGAGGAACGGCTGACAGGCTTGACTCTTAACGGCGATTGAACGAGAGGAAGCACACAAGTTTCAAGCTTCTGAAAGATTCCATGAGCTAGTCAATATTTTTAGTTCACGACAGAAGAGGAGGATGGCTCTTTTTTGAAGCCCGAGTAAATTACCTCATTTTATGAGATCATAATAAATGCTCGCAAGCCTTCTGACACGCCTCTCCTGTTTCGATTCCTTTTCATCAGAACTTAGCCTAATCCTCGAGGAGCGTTCCCGTGTACACCAACTTTTTCCCTCACGCTACGCTTGTGCCACAAGAAATTGTATCACATTGGTAGGTGTCAGCGTCGAAAAGGGATGTTTCAATTGAGTTGATATTTTTCATTTGATCGTCGAGACCAGTTGCTAGTGGGATATTTTAAAGATGCCTCAGAGGGAGCGCCAAACGCTATCAAGAGGTGCCGGGAAAAAGGGGGGGGGGGGGCAGCCCCCCTTGCTCTCCCCCCCTCCCCTCCCCCATGTAAAATGCGCCACTGAGAGTTAGCGTAGCCCTGCTAATCAATCCCGCTTTCTTTTAGATGACCCTGTAGATGTCCCAGAATAATTTGATAGTACAGTCATTATCGTGCAGGTTTGCTATGCTAGCCTTGGTCCTATTGCCGATTCTCATTTATGTTCGGATGTAGCCTAGTAACCTCCTCTATCGGCAAGTCTTCCACACGACTTGAAAAGTTATTCATATCCATTCATATGATACTTTTGTCACGCTCGTAGCAGGAAACGTTACGGTTGGGACAATTTCGATATTAACAATTAGCTTTCTAGCGTTTTTCAATTCAGTTATAGACACTTTTTCACTTGACTTCGGCACTCATGCATGAAGAACGTCCCATGCTCGTGTGTCTGAGCCAAGTGAAAAACACTGTAATGTATGAGCTGACAGATTTCTCAGCCTGCCAACTTCCATGGACAAACGATGCGTAGCAGCATGGGAATAAGTGGTTCTTGTTCTTTCGTATAGCATTTTGGGTAGCAACAATTAAAGTTCAATCTCTAGGTTAGTTAGCCATTCGATTGCTTCTGGAGCTGCAGAATGGATGCAGTTTATGTCAAGTTTGAATGCTCTGATTGGACAGTCGTACACAATATGTTGGATGGTTTGGCTCTGCGCGCCAGTCACATTTGGGATTTTCTTTTATTCTCCACTTATGGAATATGTGCCCGCAGTGTCCGTGTAGAGTTCTGATGCGGTTGATGGTGGACCATGGCTTTCTTAGTAGGAAGAAGCCAGGTGGTTTGGTCGTTGGGTCGGTGATGAGGTACCTGTGCGGTAGGTTCGTGCTAGCCCAATTACTTCGCCAGCGTTCTTCAGTCGAAGTGTTTGCCTCGTGGAGTCTCTCTGCCTCGTTCCAGAAAGGTTTTATAGACGTTTATAGAGGTTTTATATAAAGGTTTTATAAAACGGTTGGCCGGCGGGTTAGCTAGGTCTTGGTTGATTGGCAGATTTGGATTATTGAGGACTTTGTGGTACTCTCTCACCTTGTGGCATCTGTGATTCTGAAGCGAACACAGTAGGTATGGAAGAATAGTTTTACGGGTGGGAAATTATTCTTATTGAAATTTTTATGAGAAGCAGGATACAAGTAATACCAAATATGAATGCATGACTTTCTTGAATTTCCTGTCATGATTGTACCGGGTGTTGCACATAGATACCCCCTCCCCCACTCCATAGCTTAAACTATAAGAGCTAGAAAAAAACTCATATATCATGAGAAAGAGCATTCATTTTCGAATCTAAACATGGACTTCAAGTAGTTTGTATGTCCCTTAGCTGTGTCTCTGACAGCTTTAACCCTTCAAGCGCTGAGTTTTGACTCGACCTCCTAAGTGATGCACGTACGGCGTACTTGAAAACGGCTTGAAGGGTTAAGACGAGCGGGGTAAGATGAAAAGGGAAGTTTAAAGAGTTCGTGTCATCTTCCATGTCCTTCAACACTCTGGTGGTGCTGCTTTGCAAGACTTCTCGGGAGAATCCATGCTGCTTGCCCTCCATATGCATGAGAGACTCAACTCGATCTTTCAGCATGACCCCAATGTTCTCAGTCACATTCAGATCAGGAGAGTTTCCTGGCAATTCCACATTTCCAAATAAATCAATCCTCGAGTCTTTCAGCATTTGCTGTGTGGTCAAAGCTTTGGAAAATAGGGTTTTATCAGGCAGAAGCTGAACGTTTAATTTTTTTTTCGAAACCCATGAACGGGAAACGATTTCAGCTTTGGGATCACGAGCTTATCGAAATGTAATAGTACGGATGTGATCAATGAATTTAAGTTCTTCACCATCATACGACACCAGAAATAACAAAATGGGATTGAATATAATCAAAATTGAACAAGGATTCCAAATATATATTTAAACATTTTCGAGCTCCTATTTTTTAGGCTGCGGAGGGGGGATGTGCAACACCCAGTAGATGATTACGTTTTCAGTAGCAGAAACCAAATTATCTTCCTCAATTTGTCCATTGCTAACACTATCGTTACGGGTTGGACAGAAATAGTGGCAAATTCTAAAGACGCTGACAATTCATGACAAAGCTAAAAGGGTATTGCTTCTAAAAGTAGTGTTTTCTGGAAAGGACTTTTGTTCCTATGTCATGTGCTCCAAATATATTAAATTAAAAGGGTCACACTTGCCTCCAGAGTCCCGCTATTCCTACCACGTCAAGTCGTCTTACCGCTGCTGGCTCAGCTTCTGGAGTGACAAGATGCGGATCAATGCCATGGATTTCTGGTGGGCGGTCGACGAACTGCCACTCCGCCACTCCAGACCAGTGGCGGATCCAGGGAGAGGGAGTGGGGGTAGGAGTAGGGGTGGTAGGAATTTCTCCATCCTCCATTGCCCCAGGCAAGTTCCTGCTCGCGCCGATAGCTCCCCGCCACCGGGTCAAAGAAAGTGTGCTTCCTAATGTACTTGTTCTGCAGAGGAATGTTCTTGGGGGACTATTGAAAAGACGCGATAGAGGTGAGACACTTCAAAATGTTCTGCTATGTATCCTCAAGAGAAACGCTTCCAACACTGCCAAATATATTTTAAAGGAAAGTGCAATGACGTCAACTGTTGAATGTTTCGAGTTTAATCAAGATCGAGTTATCGGTCTCTGAATTGCAAAGTCGAATTGCGAAAAACAATTGCAAATTGTTTCAGTTTAGCCTGATTTACCCAAGAGCGTCTCACTCTACCGCTGATGTGTCTGCCTGCTAGCAAAAGAATTTAGAACCTTACTAATACGAAATCAAACGCTGTCAAAGTCGAAATTACTAGAACGTTCCCGGTAACGATTGACGAGTCCTTGAGGTCGAGAGAACATCTGGGAACCGTGTTCCAGTGATGGCGCAGTCCTGTGGTCGATACGACGTAGTGACTTATGAATGTCTGTTCTTTCTCATTACTAGCGATGGCAAACTGTCGTATAAGGTGGATTTAATTTTGCATCGAATGTCGACAGCTTAACTTTTTCAACTTCTGCCTGACCGCATTAGAACATTGCCTGGATGAAGCAGGACGCAAGCGAAACCGAGACTGAGGGATTCGTGACGAACTGTTGAGGCCTTCGTAAGCCTAGGCCTCATCAGAGTCGTCCGTTTCTTCGGGTGGTGATTCCTATTGAATTTTCCACGTTCCTGCAAATTGCAGAACGTAGGCGTCACGCACGCAGACTTGAAATAACTGATACAGTGGAGAGATAATTTTCTCCAGGATGATGAACAGTTTGCTGAAGGTGAGTAGGGACAGGCTGCTTAAGCTTAAGCTTGGATACATAGCCTAAACCTTATATAACGCGAAAAGCCAAGCTTAAAGTTTGAACTAAAACCAATGTAGCTGCCTATTCCTTTGGCTAGGGATGTCCCCTTCTCCCCCTCCCCCCTCCCCAAACCAAGGAGAAGGTAGGAAAATGTTACCCCCTGCCCCTTTATTCTTCTTAGCTCACCTATCGGCGAAATGCTGGCTGAGCCACTGACCTGGGTTGCCTGTGCTCAGAGTTCTCTGCATTCTCCCATGAGCTCCTGTGCCTTGCTGTACAAGAAATTTGTACGAATGAATCCCATTTTTGGTAGATGATTCAATTGTTTATGCCAATGGAGCTATGAATAGAGGGATGAGCTCCTTTGACAGATACATAGTCACTATTATTTATCACTGGTCCTAGGCCTAGTCAAACTTTCAGACTTGCTGGTGAGATTATGTTTTTGCCATGTAGCCTATGTATTCCTACTTATGAAGTCCCAGCACTCATTTCAGTTGCTGAATGATCTTTTCTAACTGGTTCTTTGAAGTCAGTTTCAATCTACTACAATTTTGCTTTCCCCCCTGATCCTTTAAGAATTGCAGATATTTTCCAAGTGTGGAACAGGGAACTTGAACCATGACAGATAAAGCAGAGAATATCAAAGAGAAAGAAGAATATTCTCTTTCTATCTCCCCCTCCCCTTTTATTTGCTTCTGCCTTTGCTTTTCTCCTTTCTGGTGAATGGTGAAGCTTCTTTTTCTATCATGTATTAACTGATTACTTCAAATCTCTCTCGTAGGGTTGTATCTTGAGGTTGCAATAACCCTTTAATAAAGGATATAATCTTTCTTTATCCCTGCACAGTAGTCCTTACCTGTGGGAAGCATTCAACTTAGATTACTTAAGGGAGGGGTCCTTCAATCCCTTTGTAGAGGTTTTTTTTTTCTGAAAAAAATTAGCCTCAATGGATGTTTAATCTGGATTCTGGTAAAATGTTGGGTGACTGAATAGTCTCCCTTGGTTACTGGTTATTGAACTAACCATAGATTGGGACACCTACAAAGTTATCCCATGATAAGCCATTCTTCTTACAGCATTGTCAATGCAACTTCATTTGTAAATCATAGCCTATAGGTGATACATTGTGTTACAGGACAAAGGTCAACTGCTGTTTGAGGACCAGTGGCCCCTGATGAGAGGGACAATCCGAAAACTTCTCCAGCAAGTACCTGTATCACGAGCAGAGTGGCAAGATCTTTTCTGGTCCATTCACTCTGTCTGCCTTTGGGATGACAAGGGGCCTCCCAAAGTCTACCAAGCTCTGCAGACAGATATTTTGGAGTTCATTGGTCATGCTCAAAAGGTGACTTAGTTAGGGATGATTTTTAATAGTAAACTTGGCTTTTTAAATTTTGTATGCATGTTTTATATTCTGCTGACCTAGCATATAAATTATCAGACTCTCTGAATCCCCCAGGAGGTGATGAGCCATGAAGATGATGAAGCCCTTCTCAAGGCCTACATCTCTGAATGGAGAAAATTCTTTGCTCAATGCTCCTATCTACCAATGCCTTTCAACTCCCTTGAGAGTGCTCTCATGGGCAAGTCCTCCACAACCAATTCTCAAGCAAAAAAGCTTCATACTGAGGAGAGCATTGTGCGAAAGGTAACTAAAAATGAAATGTCCTTAAGTGTACTTATTTAATTTCAGAGTATCAATAATAAATCAGAACTAGCTTAATTTATTTGCACAGACACTGGAAGGACTGGAAGGTCATTGCAGCAGTCCAGAACTACAGGGTGTTCAAAAATAAACTACTCACTGTTTGAAGAACCATAACTCTGGAAGCAAAAGGCATAGACCAACATGGCACCACATTGTAGCCCCAAAAGTTCTCTTTAGAATGTTGAAAAAATCTTTATTCAAAACAGTTCAGTTTGAATGCTGGTAATGTCTATACATTTGTGCTGTCATGATTAAACAGAAAAGCACACTTTTTTTGGCAGAAATCTGCAGAAAATGAATCAAATCAATGATTGCTTGTTTTAGTGCAGCAACAGTCTGTGGTCATTTACCCTACACTTGATCTTTCAAAACTGCACAAAGGAAAAAGTTCGTTGGTGTGAAATCAAGTGATCTTGGTGGCCACTCCACTGGACCTCTGTGTCCAATCCAAGAGTTGGGAAACTTTTCATCTAGCCACAGCCATACCTGCAGGCTAAAATGGGCTGGTGCTCCATTGTCATGAAATACAGATGCCCTGCTTCCACCTGGTGCTTGATTTCTGGCCACACCTTTTTGTTGAGATGTGCTAAGTATGAATCTCCACTGACACTGGCATAAAGAAAGGTCCAATGATACCTCCTGACCATATTCTGACCCCAATAGTGACACCTTGCATGTTGACCTTGTCAATAGCTTCTCTGGGGATCATTACATGTAGTTGTGTTGATGACCCTTTAACTAGAAAATTGCTTCATTGAACCAAATGACTCAATCCAGTAGGTGACATAATTTTCCAACAATTGTGAAGGACACTTAAAAAACTTGATCCTCCTGTCTGTCTTCATCTGAGAGGGCATGAATCAGTATCAATCTACATAGCTTAAGACCTTGATCTCTCAAAATGTGTAAAACTGTTGACTGAGATATCCAGTTCCTGTCACAGGAACTGAATGAATTGACATTTTTGGTCTTCATTTTAGTGTTGCTGAAATGAAATTTTTAGGCTACAAGTCAAGCCTATGAGTGAATTAGACATCACAGTTATGTAAATGGTTGCATTAGAAATTATTTAAAATAACCTCTATTATGTTTATCACACTTATTCTCATGTTTAATCTTCTGAAATGAATGTGATTAGACTTACTGTCCTCATATTAAAAAATTTTACTTCCAAAAGTCATGTTTCAATGGGTGTGGCATTGATTTTACCTTGATACAAAGGAAGACATGCTATTCAGGAATATTGATCATTCAGAAAAAGTTTTGAGATATGCTTGTTATTAAGTTCCAAAAGAAAAAGAAAGAGGAGACTCAAAGGCCATGTATAATATTTCTCAGTTGAGACTGTTGAATTTACTGGTTGTGCAAGGCAGGACTAGCTTGGCTGAGTACTTCACAATGCTTCACTCTAGGTGTTGGTGCATTCCTCTTGTAACTACCAAGAAAAGGGGTTCTGTCACTTATTACACCATTGCACTTGTATAAATAACCCCTCATTGAATTAATGATATGGCAATACAGAAGTCATTTACAGTTCTTGCCTATGATTTTGTATTGCAGTTGATGCTGGATAGCTGGAACCACCACATCTTTGCTAGTATCAAGCACCGTCTCCAGACTGCAGCCATGAAGCTTGTCCTAGCTGAGCGTAATGGAGAGGCATTTGATTCTCAACTTGTGATAGGAGTTCGTGAATCTTATGGTGAGAACATAGATTATGTTAAGATTTGTCCTTTTCCCCTAACATTATGGATGTACAGGTGAAGAAGTTTAAGTATCTTTGGCTGTAATTTTCAAGGGATGGACAACGAGCAAATGAAATTGATAATCACATCCCCTGGGCTTCTGCAGTTTTGCAGGAACTCTAGGAAACCATGGTTGCCAAATTGGCCATTTACATAGAAGTGAAACTCTTGAATGAGAATGTTTTTCTCTCTGCCTTCATCTATGACCATAAACTTTGATTAATGACCAGAAGAATCAGATCACAGATGCAAGCTGCCTAAATGAGGTTCTAATGCTGGGTGACCAATGTCAGGCACCATGATAGTGGGACTGCAACCATCCATGAGAACCATCAAGTTGAGCTGCTACTTCATGTTGAGAGATCTCCAGACTGTTGATTTGGACATGTCTATTGCATGACCCTGAGTGGCTCAAAAAGAGTTTCTGAGTCAAATATAACTGGTAAAAGATCAGTTAGTAGACCTTGTAAGAGGTGGAAGGACCATGTCATGAGCTAGGCTGAGGGAACTGGATTCATTCATGCTGATTGGGGGAGGGGATTCACACAGGAGCAGGCAAGGAAGGGGTGACTGGGATTATTGGGGAATTTATAAGTGAATTTTTGGAATGGAAAGCATGTCAGCCTAACCTGCTTGCACACTTGATGGGTAACCTGCCACATGCCTAATCAGACGAAAAGGTTTATACACCTGCTAAAAATGATCTTTGTTCAATTCTCAGTACATTTAATCTAAAGGCTAAACTGCACTTAGCCAGCCTTGTAGTTACAAGGTGGCAAAGTGCAATACCTGCTTGAAGTGCAATGGGTGTGGTTGTGCTCATGGTGGGATTCATGTTGAAGTGAAACCAGCTTGCAAAGAGGAGGTGTGCATGGGACTCCCATGGCAACAATGAGGAAACTTTGATGCAGCACAAGCAAACACCTTTATAAGGAAGTTGGTCTTGCTGAATCAACTACTGAAATACAAGCAGATGAATGTGGTGGGATAATAAGGTGGGTAGAATAATAATGACAGTAATGATAGTTATTCTTCTTTGAAGAAAGGAAAAGGAAGAAATGAAAATAATCCACCATTATTGAGAAGGTTACTGGACTTCCTTGACCTTAGATCCCTGAAGGACTATGCTTAGAAAAAACTACTTACTGGGATTTTCATCAAATCTGCAAAGCTGGAGAGAGGTTTTTTTTACAAGGTGTGGCCATCCCCTCAAATTGTACTTTTGTATCCCAATATCTCTTAATGAGTGGCTCATTTTCCTAAACAAATAGTGTTTTTAATTTAAAGACACAAAGCCCTTTCTTGGAGTGCAATTTTTTTGGCTCTACCTAAATTACCAGGAAGGGTTGCCGATGGTAACCCCCCACTGAAGTGCCCTATTTTGGTCTCTTTGATTCAGTGAATGGGTATTAAATAAAAAATTCAAAATTTCATCAATTTCCAGTCCAAGAGGACCAACATGTGTATAAACCCCTCACCTCAATAAGTTTGGAGATTACTGATGATCACATCTTTATTATTGAATCTGTAATGACCACTTATTTAATGTGTGTAGATTGACTATTTGGAGACCTTTATTTGTTACACTTTCCCTATCACTTTGGCGTGACTGAAATAATTTTTCTGACTCATGGTCATTTCAGATTCAATATTTAAAAAATTTGCCCAAAAATGCTTTCTTAACTTTTAAAGGCTAATTTAAATGCTATAAGTGAATCCTGCCTGACAGGCTTATTAACTTAACAACTTTTACTTATAAAAAGCTGTCAAGTTGAGAAAATGAAATTGCTTTTCCTATGCCCATTTTTATGCTAAATCAATGTGGAGGTGAAGAAGTATGAGAAAACATTTCTTTCTTGCATGGACTTTCTCTTTTTAGCTTTCAGCACCAAAATAAAATTTAAAACTGAACCAAGAATCTGTCTCAGCTGGTATGGCTATGAATATTTAATTTTTAGGCTGTGGGGCATTTTATTGAGACCTTATTTAAGTCAATGTTGATTGTCTGTTAAGACAGGAACTGAACCAAATAGGATGATATTTCTGGGCTAGAAAGCTTATTAAAGAGAACCATATTTCCCTGAGAGCATTAGTAACAAGGGGGTCATTGTATTTATCCAGCCACAATTCCCCATGAGCAGCAAGCTTGTTGGTTGCTATATGTAGCACATTCCTTATGGAATTGTATGTGTTGATATACCCATTTTAACCTAATTCTACTAATTTCTATTATCAGATGTCATGATGTTTGCCATCCATGTTATGCCAATGAGTTGCCTTATACTAGTGAAATTCCATTTGTCTATCTCTCTTTTCCCTAGTGAACTTATGCAGTGATCCAGAAGATCGGTTAAAAATATACCGTGAGAACTTTGAGCGGGCCTACATGGAGACTACTGAAGCCTTCTATCGCAGCAAAGCTCCTGAATACCTGCAGCAGAATGGGGTCCAGAACTACATGCGGTATGCTGAAATGAAGCTGAAAGAGGAAGAGCATAGAGCCAAGAGATACTTGGAAACTTACTCGGGCTCAGTTCAAGCGGTAGGTCATATTGAGGGGCATGATTGTTACATTCATAACTCATGGTTCTGGATTGTTTCTGCATGCCTAATCTTTTTAAAAAGAATATCATAGGAAACCAGTCATGTTTTCATCCTTGTCATGTTTGACTGTCAAGTTTTGAGAATGAGAAAAGATTTCCAAATGAAAGTAGTAGCTCTTGCTAACATTCAATGCTCTCTTAGCATTTCAACTATTGATACCTCAGGATATACAATTTTGGATTGTCCCTTGAATGTTGTCCAGCCAAAGGGATTCTTCAAAGACTTGAAGGGTCTATATTTATCTTGAAATATTTGTTGGTTTTTCTGTCAGGATCTATGGGAGGTAGCTAAGATGGGGAGAAGTGGCTTCTCAGCAACTTCCATTTTTATCAATTTTTTTGCTAGGAAAGTTGTATCTTTATTGTTGACTATTTGCCAAGAAATAGTAATACAACAATTTTTAACACATTTAAAAATTCATGAGCTTATGAGCACGTAAGTTCATGCTCATTTGTGACACCAGCCATGATCAAACAATCTGCTATGAAAAATATTGTGTTTAGTTATGTTTAGTATCAAAACGTTGGCTCAAAGCCTATTGAGTTTCAGTAAATGGGTCTTGTCAAGTATTGTCTGCTGTACTACAGGGAAGCCTGAAAGATGTGCTGATTTTTAGGAAAAATCTTACTTCTGCAGAAATAAGATTTTACCTAACACCAACAGATGTACAGATGTGCAACCTTCAAAGTAACCCTATGAGGTACATGACAGATTCCTTCATTGTGGCAACCATATTAATGCCATTAACACTATCAAAAAGAGCTTGCTGATCAACAATTTTTGCAACAGATTGAAATCATTGTAAATATAGCTAATGTCAGAGTCATTTTGGGATTTTTTTGTTGCATCTTGTCCTGTTCCATGACTAAAGTCCCACAGATGACACCTATCTCATGCTGTGCTCTAATATGATACTGTCTATAGAAGCAGTATGTGGTGGAATTGTATTAGCCAAGATATAAACATTTCCAGTGTCTTACGGCTGTTTTTGCATGAATTTTTAAAATTAAGGATCATGTACAGACTTTCAGGTAAAAATAAAATTTGATACAGAGGGGTAGAATTTTGTCAAGAAATTTGCTGCTTGTTTTGAGTAGGATATTACTGCTGCAGCATTTTTATTCTAATGACACTGCATCAGGTCTGCTCTGGTAGAAATGTAGAATGTGTTTGTCTAAAAAACAAAAGCCCATGCTCTTTCAAGTTCCAAAACAAGTTTCAGCCATTGAGATGTAAAAAGAGTTACTTACATTTTAAGTGTTTGTGACTTTATAGTCAGCCCAATACATACAATCATGCTTAAATTTGCACCCTCTCATGACAATATTGAAGCATTCCAGCTCAAGGGGTAGGTGCCCTTCAGACTCTGATTTGCTTGAAAAAATTTGTGCATGATGGGTTCCAGGAGTTATGAAAAAAATCAAAATCTTGGTGCTCTGACTAAGGGTTTTCGAAATATTTAGCCCAAAAAAAGAAAGTGACCTTTGGGATTAAAGCTCTATCTTTAGTCCTAGTCAAGCTAGAAAAGGTTTTTTTTTTACTCTGATTAAAGCTGAAACAATGTAAAATTGCATTATTAAATACATTTTCTGCTACATTCACTACAAATTGAGTTACACAATTTCCAAACATGGTACATATTGCCAAGTTTTGCGCACAAATTGGAGCACTCGGATGCATTGTAACACATTGAGCTTTTGGTTTAGTTACCTTTAAATGCATGCATATACATTTTCAGGTGAATTGGACTTCAGAATGGAATCATGTTCCTTTCAAAAGTCATATGGCTGCCATAAAACCAGGTACATATCAAATGTCTGTGCTCCTCAGTTGAAATAGTTTAATTCTTTAAGTGAAAGTGAACAGGAGAGTTTGTGTCTTAGGTTTGGAAAATCCAGGACTGTATTAAAAAATATTTCCCTTCATCATGAGCAGGTTTGGTTGGTGCAATATGCTCTCATATAGGGAGGGAAAAACTGAAGTGATCCTTTCAGAAATCACAAAAATAATGTGAAGGCAGGTTGAGCCTTTCTATCGTCCTATGAGTCATGATGTTGAGAGTCTTTTCCTGCATGGAGTTGACAGTCCAATCATTTTGACAGGTTTGACGTGTAGGAACTTGACCTCACCATCAATAGAATTTCAGAAATGAGGTACCTTATGGTGTGAAATGCTGAACCTAGCTAGTACATTCAACTGTTAATTCCATACTTTTTTTTTACCACATTCCATTCTACATATTAGTTTGAAGGCACTTCAACAGTCGATAGCCCTGCAACTGAGGAGCGCAGGCATTTGATATGTAGCTGGTTTTATGACAAGTCATCTGACATTTGAAAGGAACATGATTCCATTCTGAAGTTCGATTCACCTGANAGATGTAAAAAGAGTTACTTACATTTTAAGTGTTTGTGACTTTATAGTCAGCCCAATACATACAATCATGCTTAAATTTGCACCCTCTCATGACAATATTGAAGCATTCCAGCTCAAGGGGTAGGTGACCTTCAGACTCTGATTTGCTTGAAAAAATTTGTGCATGATGGGTTCCAAGAGTTATGAAAAAAATCAAAATCTTGGCGCTCTGACTAAGGGTTTTCGAAATATTTAGCCCAAAAAAAGAAAGTGACCTTTGGGATTAAAGCTCTATCTTTAGTCCTAGTCAAGCTAGAAAAGGTTTTTTTTTTTACTCTAATTAAAGCTGAAACAATGTAAAATTGCATTATTAAATACATTTTCTGCTACATTCACTACAAATTGAGTTACACAATTTCCAAACATGGTACGTATTGCCAAGTTTTGCGCACAAATTGGAGCACTCTATACGTAACATTGTGTAACTCGAAAACCAAATCAATGGAAATTTACGTACGTATATGTAAAAGTCCACTTAACCTGAAGTCTTACCTTAGTACAAGGAAAGTTTTCAGTATACCGACGGTATTTTGGTGGTACATATCAAATGTCTGTGCTCCTCAGTTGAAATAGTTTAATTCTTTAAGTGAAAGTGAACAGGAGAGTTTGTGTCTTAGGTTTGGAAAATCCAGGACTGTATTAAAAAATATTTCCCTTCATCATGAGCAGGTTTGGTTGGTGCAATATGCTCTCATATAGGGAGGGAAAAACTGAAGTGATCCTTTCAGAAATCACAAAAATAATGTGAAGGCAGGTTGAGTCTTTCTATCGTCCTATGAGTCATGATATTGAGAGTCTTTTCCTGCATGGAGTTGACAGTCCAATCATTTTGACAGGTTTGACGTGTAGGTTGAACTGGAGTGGTAGTTATCTTAAAGTCTTTACTCCATGGAATACCACACTTTACGACTTGGATCGATCATGTAAGTTGACAATTAAGGTATGAAAAAAAAATGGTGTAAGGTAAGATGTATAATGTTTGAAGGCACTTCAACAGTCGATGGCCCTGCAACTGAGGAGCGCAGGCATTTGATATGTAGCTGGTTTCATGACAAGTCATCTGACATTTGAAAGGAACATGATTCCATTCTGAAGTTCGATTCACCTGAAAATGTATATGCAAGTGTTCTAAGGTAAACTAAATTTTCACTATGGGAAATCCATACAAATTCTAAATATTAATTTGGCAGTGTTTGAAAAAAGTATAAATGCCTATTTATTGGTCATTGGTGAGTTATACCCTGCCCAGTTGTTTCATCAGGATTCCCGTCTTTGGGAATTTTACCCAAATACACTTCAAGAGGATAGTTATGTTCAAAGGTTAAAAAAAATGCACAGATGCCAAAATTGAAAACAGCAGAATAAGTCAAAATAGTAACCTTTCTTGAAACTTTCTAGAAAGTATACTACCACACCTGTTCAGACATAGAACAAACTTTGTCCTCTATATCCGTCAGTTGGTACTACTTTAGACGTTTAAACCTGAAAAGTTTAAATTTTTTTAACTGTTTCAAGCAAAGTAGCGAGTTGAAATTTAGTTAGCAACATTGCCATTCCTTTAGTCTGCGATTTTCCTAAAGCTCGATGTGTTACAATGCATTCTAGTGCTCAAAATTTGTGTGCAAAACTTGGCAGTATGTACCATTTTTGGAAATTGTGTAACTCAATTTGTAGTGAATGTAGCATAAAATGTATTTAATAATGCAATTTTACATTGTCTCAGCTTTAAGTAGAGTCAAAAAACACTTTTCTAACTTGACTAAGACCAAACCCCAAAGGTCACTTTTTCTCTTTTGGGCTAAGTTTGGGGCTGCATATCTTCAAAACTGTTAGAGCCAGTGAGCCAAAATTTTGCATTTTTTCATAAGTCTTGAATGACAACAGGCAAAATTTTTTTCAAGCGAATTAGAGTCTGATGCCCAACAAATCACTGAGTTTAAACTGATGGGCTCGACCTTGGGGAGAGAACGTTTAGTGACTACTGTATCTACGGTATCCTGTCTGAGGATCCATATTTAAGAAACGACAACAAAAAGACAGACACGTAACACGTATGTGCTTCAGTGTGTTAATGCAAAAAAAAATGGCTGTATCCAGTGATGATCATATAGATTGTGACAAAACTTTGACCACTTGTTATCCACTGATGATCATATAGATTGTGACAAAACTTTGACCACTTGTTATCCACTGATCCACCATGGTTGAAGCCTGATCTGGACCTTGACTTTTCAACAATACCCAAGAGGATAATACTTGAGCTGATTTGTCTATTCAATGTGAACACCTCAAGAACTTGTAGGACCTCAAGAACCAACTACTCTCCAACCTTTATCACGACCACACCCTCTAAAGTTCCAAAACTTGTACCGATCCAAAACTTGTTCCAGTACGACGGACGTAGACGACGTCGGCAAGTTGAGTGAATTTTCACCCATTGTAAGAACAAAGAAAGGCACTTGAACCCAATGAGTTAGGCCCAATTGCTGAAGCCTCCTTTGGTTAATGGTTCTTTAAAAATACATGGATTTCTATGGGAGAAAATGAGCTCTTTAGCTTAAAGGCCTCTTTATATCCCCTGAGTGGGGTTTGTGCATTCTTGCCTAAGGGGATAAGTGGTGTCTCTCCCATAAACCCTTCATATTCCATAAGAGTATACTTCCATGATCATGTGTGTCTCTTTCTTGGATTTATTACTGGTAATGAAGTTTGTAGCCTGCACTTGAAATTTCCATGCATGCATGAATGAATTTCTTTCTCCCCTCTTCAACTGGATATCATTGTGAAGCAAACAGAGGAATCCACTTGATGCTATTTTCAGGTAGTGAACATTTTTAACTGTAAGCTATTGAAAATCCAGGGAAAAAACAGTTTACTGCAAAGTAAAGTAACAAACACTGGATTTAGTAAAATTGTAATGCTTTCAACCAAATTCAGGCATATTTGTGCTGATCCTGTTAGGTAGAAACTTCTAGAAACTTTCCTTGATGGCTTTTCTTGACCTCAAACTACAATGTCATTCATTTTAACTTCTTACTCAACAGAGGAAAGAAAGATTGCCTCAATTTAGAGTGCTTCCTAAATGCCTCATTTTTCTATCCTATAATGATACAGATTTTTTATATAGTGATAACACTGAAAATCAAGAGGCTCAAGTATTTACTTGCACATTAAGTTCCTAACATTATATCCATAATTCACTGTTAATGTAGCCAGAAAATGGCCAATGTTCCTTTGTCATTTTGTCTAGGTTGTGAATGAAAGAACGAAGCACACCATTGCTCAAATCTCATTCCTAGCAAAGAAATTTAAAAAATATATATGGTGCCTAATGAACTTGAACCTGGGCAAATTTTTTAAATGGGTTTGTTTGGCTGTAACAATTACTGGGATAACTCAGTTCTAATGGTTTAATGGTGTTTCAACACCTTAATAGTAGGGCTGTCACGATAGCAGTTTTAACAACATCGATGCATTGACCTAAACTATCGATAGTGTATCAATGCATTGAAGGAGGGGGGGGGGTGCACTGGAGGATTCAATCTTTTCTCACCTCGATCAGACCTTTATCTGTCTTTCATAATCTCACCCTTGTGATCGGAGGTGTGGGATGAAGGTGTGACCTTCGCAACGAGTAATGAAACCTACCATGCCTCCAAATATCGAGGGTGATATTCATTCATCGATGGATGCCTCAGGACAGCCCTAATTTGTTATTATTGCCATTGAGAATCAGTTGCCAAGCCTGTTTGTGTAATTTTTTTCTCATTTTCTTCATTCTACATGGTTTTCTTTGGACATGGGCACCTGCCGATGGTGCCATATCGGCGGCTGCTGAAACATATTGAGAGGGGAAAGTGCCACCAATGTACGTTTCGAAATGAAGGGAGTATAAGAACAGTCCACTTTCGCAGCATGCACTTGATGAGATCGAAACTGAAAGAGAAGAGAAAGAAACTGAGACTGAAACAGAAGGGGGAAAAATCTTCTCGGTCTTCCCTCCCTCTCTTTTCCCACATCCTTTCTCCGATCCAACTTTTTTCCTTCCCGTCTTTCATATAGTCAGTCCAGCATTTCCAGAATTCAATTGTGACGAGAAATTGCTCGCCCAAACAGGTCACACCACCTCTTTCTTTCCCCACAGACAGACTGTATCGTACCGTACTCGCCGCAATCCAATGGGGCATTTCCCCTTTAAAATATTTTTCCGATGCATCGCGATGGTCGAAAAAACTATCGATACCTCCAACCATCGATAGTGGTATCGATGCATTAATCAATCGTGACAGCCCTACTTAATAACTATGAAGACTAAAAGTCTTTATAACTTTTAAGGTGTTGAAACACCATTAAAATAGGTCATGTGTGTGTGTCATTGTAAAATGTTTTATGTTATCAGAATATAGGTCAGGAATCATTCAGCCATGAAGGATTATTGTTCATTGATGAGAAATCACATTGCTTTAACCTCAGTCCTCTAATGCATTGGTGTCCAATAGGATTTCGATGCTCGCCAAACTTGTGGTGATCAGGTCACCATATTTGCCACATTATACAAAATATATGCTCTATTGATAAGAAGAATGTGCAATCTTTTGAAAGTAGATTTGAGATTGTAAACCATCATCAATCAAGACTGATGCATAGTAAAATACATATTTAAATATGGCAAGTGGCAAATGTATTGGACACCATTTCTCTAATGCATGACTTTATTTTTACTAATGGGCACAATTTTCATTGTTTCTGCTGCTCTGGAGGCTAATAAGCTTTTAAAACTCCTGCTTAATTTTAATTTTGACTGGTTAGTATCACCTTTTCTCAAACAGGGCCTCCATAGATATGTTGGTGCTTTTCAGCTCCAAAAAACTGTGAAAATATTGAAATTTATCTGTCCTCAATTGAGGATGGGATGTATGAGAAGGTTCTCTTTGTGTCTTAGTTCTTATCAGATGATCTGAACTATATTGAATTTCACTTCCAGCTTCTAGACTGTTGTGTGAATGTGCTGGTCACTGCCTTCAAGGAAACCATTCTGGCTGAGTGTCCTGACATGATCAAGGCAGGTGAAACAGAGAGTGAGTCCCTTATTGTTTCTGCTAATTTTAACAATAATTTAAATTAACTAAATTAAAATGTGAGATATGTTCTGATGGTAAATGGGGAGCTTGAACTGTGCCTCTAGTTTATCCATTTTCATTGCCAAGTAATTTATTGTGAAGGATCCTTATCAGGTTCATGATTGAGGGCCACTCAGCAATAAGATTGTCCTGAAATTTTGTTATTCAGTCATTGACATGCCATACCATGTTGAAGACATTACTTCAGAAAAGTAAATTTAAGTGAAATGAAAGATAGAGGAGCACTTCTTCTATTCTTTCACATTTGTAAAGGTGATGAATTTTGAATAATGAATTTGGTAGGGTTGGGTCAGATGTTCCACCTGTTGGATCGTGTCCCCAATGGGATTAACCCCATGCTGGAGTACCTGGAGAAGCATATCATTTCCCAAGGCTTGGCTGACATGGTTGCATCAGCAGAGGTCATCACTCAGGTTGGCTTTTCAAAGCTTCATTGTCATGTTATAAAAAATAGATCCAGGTATGAAAGAACAGCCATGTAAGTTTGAAGTGTTTGTAAAACCTTGTGTTCTCCCCAAGTCCCAACATCAATGTGCAGTATCATGATATTTAATTGTTAGTTGAAGTATTTCTGACTGATGGGAATAATAGACTAAGCCACAGTGTAGAAAAAAATATTTTTTCCCCCACAAACCTAAGGCAAAAAACTGGAATTCCCCAGGAAGAATATGCAAGTGGACTAAGTGGGTTGCCCACCCCTGTGCATCTCCATTCCTGCGAACCTCATTCACAAGTTTGCAAGGGTTTTCCTAGCCTGCTAAGCCCATATAAATAACAAGGGGGATAAAAATCAGTGGGACTGTGGTTCTTTTTTTCCAAGGATGGAATTAGAGAGCCTTTTCCTATCATACTACAGAGTGATCCAAAAGTCATGCACACCAAACAAGTACACACAAAACAAAATATCCTGGAAATACTACTACTCCAGATAGTTGCAGAATGTGCTGGAAATGCCAACATGTTCTTGATAACATGCATTAACTCTACCATGTTTTTCATAATGTTCAAGAATAAACACTTGCTGTTGTTGTGAGAGTGGTATCCTTCTTCTTCAAGGAGGAATTAAGAACTGAGGCCCGTATTCACGTCGCTCCCCTAACTCAAGAAAGTTAGGGATCCCCTAGATGTTTCATATTCACGTTCCTCCCCTAACTAAGGGATTCTTAAACCCAACCCTAGCGGAAGAAGGTAGGGGAGCTTCCATTTTTCACATTTAGAGTTCAATGTTGTAGCTCCTGCAGCACCTCATCAAGAGGTCCTGGTATTTCGTTACTGATGACAGTGTATATGGGTGTAAATTCACCTCAAGAATCCGTTTTACCTGTCTCTAAGGTGATCCAGTTGAAGGATGATGTCAAATGAAATCCGCTGCTGCCATGTAAAAGCCACCCCAAAAACGATATCCCCTACTCTACATTTACTAAATCTCTGTTCTGACTATCTATTACCACAAAATTTGCACTAAGCATAGGCTACTATGTATTCAAGAGATTTGTGGAATTTCATTAAAATTTATTGCAGCTAGGCAAAGCTACTAGTCATATTTAAAAGAAGTTGGAAACCATTGCAGTCGACAGTAGGATGTGCTGGTAGTTTAGTAGAGGAGATTTCTTCGTTCTGCTGTGTG